TGACACTAACCAAAAATCTCTCATTTTCATTCACACGAATGGATCGTGCGTGCCAACTTACAAACTTGTACAACACCGTTTTATAACGCACCTCAGATATTAAAAGATAACATTTGATTTGCATAGAAGTAAAAAATAAGTATGATATCTTTACTCTTGTTCTAAAAAAAACAATTAGTTTTGATAAAAGAGAAAACGTGTCATTATCTCAATTTTTCCAGATGCAGTAACATTTTTAGAAGATGTTTTGATGTTATGGATTTAAAATGAAATCTTGATTGCACCTATTTTTTTTTGTCATCAAATTGATACCTTATCACTGTTTTTGTATGACAATATGAATCGCTTTACTATTTTGTCCTTTAATGGTTTAATTGCCAAAATTTTAACTTTTTGCTGATAAATTATAACACTTCTGTGTAAATACATTTACACCAAGATGTCGTTAAATGAAATTGGATACCCAGCATTTATCATGCTTTTCAATAACATATGATCAAATCGCTGAAAGACCCCCCTCCTCCTAAATTATTGAAAACTATAATTCTGCTTTGACAACAATATCTTGGTGTAAATTAAATACACCCTTCGGGCTAATGTCCTCAAGGTGCATCTAATACATATATACTAGTATAGCAAGTGTGAAATCTATATTCAGAAATCGGGGCTCACAAGTCAGGTCCGCATTAATCCCCAAAAAATTAAATTATAAACATAAGTTATTGATGTTAAAATACAGTTTGAAATTGATTCCAAACATTTGTTTTGTACGGAGCCATTACAGCAATGGAAACACGTATTATTTCGTTTAAAATATTTGCATAAAGCATTTTTAATAATACAGTAGGAATAGAATTTTGGCCCTAAATGACTGGTTTCGCACATAACCACTTTTACAAGTACACTCGGATCTGCTCTGATTTGTAGATCAATCAATGTCAAATGACGTCCAGCGACAGAATCAAGCAAACCACTCAAAGTCATCAGTCTTAAATGATGATTTATATATCGAGGTTTGATTTACAGGCACTTAATTCATATTCTCAAATACTTTAAAGCAAATATTGAACATTTACCTATCTCTTTACAAAAAGTCTCTATATTGAATTAAAGAAAAAAAAAGTGATAAAAACTTTCAGGATGGAGGTTTTATTTTTTTCACTGTTTATCAAAACTGAAGATCTTCAAGCGTTACTTTTAAGTATATTTGCTAATCCTCTTTAATTTGAAAAATAAACTTATTGTCCATACTATCACATTACAATATCATTATCTTACAAGTTAAGTGCTGTTGGGGTTTTTGTAAACATTCAATCGTCCCGTCGTCCGGAATTACAAATATTGCCGGAAATGTATAATCTACGTCGAAGTCGTTTTTGTGTGGATTTAGTAACAACTCGTTTCTCCTTCTTATGTTCGCCTTTCAATTTATAGCGTACGCTAAAATTGTGATGAATTTTGTCAAATTTAGACTCATAAGATAGTTGTTTGATTAATGTCCAGTGCCCCACTGACCGCAGATTTATTCCTATTATTGTAATGAACGACTACATGAAGACACTATAGTCTCTGTAAACAATCCAAATGTCTCTAAATATATAATAACGGTTAAGCCATACAAGAGTAAGTATACAATGTTGGCTACTTCACTTGAATTGATCCAGGTTTGAGTCCTAAATGTGAATTGAAATGAAGAACATTGACGAAGAACGGCAGGTAAGTAAGTAAACCACTGACCAATATGTACACAAAACATAACCAAGGTCCAACATGTGCACTTTACAGAACCATTGACCAACATGTACACGTAACACAACCACGGGCGAACATATGCACGTAACAGACTTACAGACCAGCAGAAAAGTAATATAAATTTTCCACATTTATAAAATGAATCATTCGGTCATAAAGCACATTAATGAAATCCGGGGACGGAGGCAATGTATCAATCAATAGATATAAGAAGATGTGGTATGAGTGCCAATGAGACAACTCTTCATCCAAGTCAAAATTTATAAAAGTAAACCATTATAGGTCAAAGTACGGTCTTCAACACGGAGCCTTGGCTCACACCGAACAGAAGTTTTGAAACATCCCTAGAAGAATTGAATATACTTTGCATTTTATGAAAAGATATGATACGGCAACAAACTATTGAAGTTATTATGATATAGTATTTACTTCCCTTAGTTATCTAATTTACATCCACTGTTTAATCCCAAAACATACAAAAAACAAAATCAGTTTCATAATCTTTATTACTAAATTACTAAATGAGGAGAATTTGTTTTCTTTTTTTTTTTTGTGCATCGCTTTTCCAACTGCCAGACTTATTTAATCATAACTGACTAATTGCGTCCTGACGCTACTGCTAGTATAGCATTAACGGTTTATTTTAGTTTCCTCACTTTTCATCTTGTAGTTTGAATTATTTGCATTTTTTGTATGGGGAATAGTTTGAAAAAGAAAAGTAGGGATTTATGTCAATACTTTACCCTTATAAGCATCTGGTTATTGGACGAAAGATGATTAAAACCAACAACATATGCAAATAACAATGTGCCACATCAGACCTAAATGAAACAAGATAGGACCGAATTCCAACCAAAATTTCAAACGACAACGCGCCACAACGTTCTTAAATAAATATATGATTGGTCTAAGACTTACAAAATTCAATACAAGAAACATTTGTAAATTATTTCATTAAAAAAAATATGTCACTTAGTTCTAACAGCATACATAATTATTATATGTGCCTTATCAGGTTGACATTGCGAATTTTGATAATAAACATTATAATACAATATTCAAAAGAATAATAAAAAGTTGACAAGGCCTTTAAATATATGTTCTTCCTTACAGTTTATATTTTTAGTTTAAACAAAATGCTCGGTATTTCTAAATTTTTTCAACTTTCAGACAGAGGTTTTATTTTATGACTAAGACGGTCCTTAAAGTAGATAACGGGGGAAATATAATTCTTAAATAAATATTTAGTGGTCAGAAAATCTGTTAATTTCAACATTACAGATAACACGTATAAAATATTTTGATAATATGCGGTGTCAAATATCTTTGCATTTTCCTGTTGGGATGGTTTAGTTATAAAAACAAGAAACAGAAAAGTTTATTTTTATATTTTCAGCCTGTATACAAAAAAAATAATACCAAACTTCATTTAAGCTATCTTCTGCATTTTGGTATAAATTATTTCTTACAATTAAACCTATATATTTTGACAGCCTTATCTGTATTATCCATGCGACATCAAGTAAGCAATAATAATACATTTGTTTTCAGTAACAGGCTTCCTAAAACGAATGGCAAGTAGACAACACATGTATCCTTTTGATTTTTAAATAGTTTTATACATCAGTCATATTCAGAACAGTGTTTGAACAGTAATTTGCAATTGATGTTTACAGATTGTTCTTATGTTGTGCTGTTACACCACTGTCTCAGGTTTGGGCAGGGTAGAGCGTTCACAAACACGCTTATTCCCGCCACATTCTTTATTTGCCTGTTTTAAGTCAGGAGACTGTAATTCAGTGGTTGTCGTTGGCTCAGGCTATGTCATATTGGTTTTTGTGTGTACTGTTATAAATTAGACCGTTAGTTTTCTCGTTAGAATTGTTTCACAATTATCATGTTGATGCCTTTTATATCGGACTATACGATATGCGTTTTGTTCATTGTTGACGGTCGTACGGTGACCTATAATTCCTTTCAACCACGTCATATGGTCTCTGGTGGATAGTTGTCTCATCGCAATCAAACCACATCTCTTTTTTTATATTTGTACCTTAATTGTAAAAAGTGTCAGGGTTTGTATAAAAAAATAGGGTAATTCGAGTTTGTGGGATCGTGCTACTTATTCTTATCTCAATATATGATCATTTTCCTTTTCATAACATTTTATCGACTCATATTTGTACATAATAGATATAAGAAGATGTGGTATGAGTGCCAATGAGACAACTCTTCATCCAAGTCAAAATTTATAAAAGTAAACCATTATAGGTCAAAGTACGGTCTTCAACACGGAGCCTTGGCTCACACCGAACAGCAAGCTATAAAGGGCCCCAAAAATTACTAGTGTAAAACCATTCAAACGGGAAAACCAACGGTCTAATCTATATAAAAAACGAGAAACACTTATTAACCACATCAACAAACGACAACTACTGAACATCAGATTCCTGACTTAGGACAGGTGCAAACAATTGCAGCGGGTTTAAACGTTTTAATGGTACCAAACATTCACCCTTATCTGAAACAATAGTGTAACATCACAACATAGAAAGACACACCATAAAATATCAATTGAAATGGCTTAACTCAATCAAAAGACATATTAACACCAGTGAACATACACTGAACAAATAAATTTGATCTATGATACAATGTAAATACAAAGTAAAATAAAGACTACTTATCATTTAACCAATTCACATCTCCCAAATATTATTATATTGCAATTCCTTATGATAATTATATTTTCATCAGTCATACCAGATAAGGTTAGTCACATATATTCAAGTTACTTAATAAATTTTAAAACTAGTTAATAATAATTCACTTTGTTTTCATAAAGATACTTTTAATTCTTATTTTGTTTTCTTATTATATATTTGGAGATACTGATTTTGTATGATAATATTTTATATATATCATTTCTAATCGTGTTTGATAATGATGATGGTCATGCTGTTATTATTATTTTTATTATATTATATTATATTACCATCACAAGGTAATATATCATTATTATTATTATTATTATTATTATTATTATTATTATTATTATTATTATTTCAATAATTTTATTACAAATAACAATAATTATAATAAAAAATAATGTTTTAGGCGGTGATATTTCCTTGTCAAAAACTATACGCAATTCGGTATTTAGACAGCATTTGAAGAACGATACCTTAAAATGTTGTTTTTACATGTGCTGATATTTTTTTCTTTGTAAGAAATTTTAAACTCATTACCTTTTTCTTGGGAGTCCATTTTATTTTGAATATTTGCATTGTCGTCTACTGTATTTCCAGAACGTAATAAATGTTCATTATTTTGATGTGGTGGAACGTAATTCCGGTCCTCTCGATTAGTCCACAAATTTGGTTGAACAAATGTGTACCCACTGGATAACGGTCCATGTAAATCATAATGGTTTTCTGACATAATAGGTGCAAACTGAACACCAACTGGATCCATATTTTCCTCTGAATTTTATTAAAACATCACAATAAACAATACAACTTTATCTGTATATGTTGTTTTATTTATTTCAACTATCAATACGTCATCACGTTGCGTCTGTACCTACTTAACGTGGAATAGTTTCTATGATTAGGCGCGTGAAGTGGAATACAAACAAACTATAGAATACCCTTGTTTTCTGTTTTAATGATATACAATATGTGTGGATACCTGAGATATAAACCTAAATTCAAAATAAACACAAAAGACAAACACAGATAAGATTAAGTCCGCCCTTTTCTCATTATTATCCAATTGCGTTACGTTTCCATGACCGGAGTTCAATCTAAGGTTTAGATTTTCATTGAATCATAGACTGTCATAAGCTTTAATGGGTTAAACTGTTTATTTATCATGCAAACATTGACAAGATTTTGTAATCATAACATGTGATAAATGGGAACATACAATAAGCGGATGAAAAATAATGGAGATAAAATTTTTAAATTGTCATGGTGGATAAATCGTGTAGGTTGGTGCTTGTCTTTTTTTTTTTTTTAATTTAATAAATTTTAATAACATCTTTTAATCAAATTTATATAGGATCAAGTCAAGAAAAGACCGAAGAAAGCAACTAAAATTGCGTTGATTTTTTTTAATCTGTTTACTGTTGCACGTTTTCACTTACTAATTTGATTTCAAGATTTTTGCAACAAAATTATCACAAAACATACTTTATAGTCTACATTATAGTATATGTCTATAATAGGTGTCACACGACGGGTGTTTATAGTAGAAAAAAAACTGTCGACCCTTCCAGAGCGGGGCTTTGCTTTTGCGCCAATAGGCATTTAATTTGAGCCAAAATATATTTCATTTGCGCCACAAACAATATTTCATTTGCGACAAAATTAAACATTTCACTTGCGCCAATAATACTGGTAAAAAGTATAAATAAAAGATATTTTGAAAGGGGAATTTTAATAATAGTGTGACAACATACTTTTGATAGTATAATACTAATTCTGTATTGTCATACAGGTAAACGCAATACTTGTGACAGATATAAAGGATAAATTACAAAATATCAACTCATTTGAATACATTAATAATAAAAATATTTACCACATTCGTCATAAAACCAAAATGATAACATTAAACACTCATTAGCTTTATAAATACTGATAGTCTACTATCTGCTGGTAAAAACCATGGTTGTATGTGTTCATTCAATGTTTATATAATTGTTTTGCTGCCCACATCTGTTGTGCTTCTGGCTATGCGGCTGTTAAGGGTTTATCTACACGACTTGTATTTGTTTTTAAATACATTATATCTGATATGTGTGGTCATTAAAAAATACATAAGTATTTCCTTTAATTGTCTCCAAATGAATAATGTCCATCTTGCCTCCTCAAAATGTGTACGAACACCTGGAATACTCTACAAAAAAATCTTATACAAGCCTCTTTTTCAGGACACTGCATATTGAAAACGTTGCCATTATATTTTACATGTGAATTGGCGAAAAAGCAACATTGATTTTTGGCGCAAATTAAGTATAACCTTTTTGAGCAAATAAAATACGGCAAGTTTCAAAAATTGGCGCATTGGCACAATTGTAATGCGCCTTTTCAGGAAGAGCACCCGTGAGTTACCTGGCTTTTAGTTGGGTTCGTTTTGCTCAATCTTAGGTTTTCTGGGTAGTGTTTTGTGGTCTCAGTGTTGTTTATATGTTTGTCTATATTTTTTGCCATGTTGTTGTCTGTTCGTTTATTTTTTATTTTTTCATTCTGCTGTTTTGAGTTTTTCATATACATGTGGTCTTTTATTGTCCTCTTGGTATAATCTCTCCTATTTCAAATTCTCTATCATGGCTTAATGATTTTTAATAACTTCAGTTTGTATCATAAGATAACGATTAATACTATTTTAATTCGTTTTCATAAAAATAGAATTATTCCAACTTAATACTTAATACGTTGCTGCCTCGCTAACATTTTACACTTGAATGTCCATTATTGATTTGTTGAAACCATCAAATGTATTTTTTTTTACATATATTTAATCAAGGATTTGTATAGTCTTACTCCTTGATGAAATATATATGTATATAATTTTTTTTTATTATGTTTTCTAATTTTTGTATTTACATATATTCGGATATAGGATTGGTGAAATTTCAAACGAACAGTATAATAATAAAATGACTTATCATATGTAACATTTTAAATTAATAATGAAATTTTATAACATTTTTTATTTAACCTTTGATTTGACCTAATTTAATATTCAATGTCATATTTTATATTAAGTGAAAATCTAGATTGAGTATTCAGATGTTGTAAGGAAAATTCAATAATGTTTTAAATAAAAAAAAATAATTTCTGCTGACGTTTTTCCAAGTCCAAAATAAAATCCAGCATCTTCTTTTTTTATAAAGTTTATAGAGTATATCTACATAATTTCTGTTTTATATTTTAAGTCAATCTATATAGTTGAATAAAATGTATTTAATATATAATATTGTAAAATGACTCTTTTTCTACATGGTAAAACATCCTATGGATAAAACTTGTGAATAATGACTATGTACAACAATGGTAGATGCCGCTCTTTCCCGAAAGAGAGCTGACATATATATGGAAATATAAAAATAGAAGATACCATTCTGAAAAGAGACACAACTCTTACAAACAAGAAAGACAATTGTTCAAATTACGAAAATAAGGATACAGATTTATTTTAGATTCATGACTATTGGTGTGAACTATTCTGTTTATATTATCGTCACAGTTTCGTAACTTGGTGAAATTATGTTTAGTTGACTCTGTTGCTTTCAGAAGTTAGATATAACTTGGAAAATCCTCAGTTCCCGCCAAAAAATAAACATGTTCTACATAGCATACAGATGAAAACGAAAGGACAAATTCAAAAATTACTTTAAAATTGTTTATAAGGGAGCTACCATTTGATTTTTATCGGGGGGGCTAGGATGAAAAATTTTGTCCTGCATTTTTTTTTTAGTTGTAATCTCTGTCCTGCCTTTTTATTTTTCACTCTATTCGGTTTTGCCTTTTTTTTTAAGTTTATCCTGACTTTTTTTACCTAAATTGTCATCCTGACTTTTTTTTTGAAAGTGTCTCATCCTGCCTTTTTTTTTTACTCAAAACTCCTGTCCTGCCTATTTTTTTCAAATTTCATCCTAGTCCCCCCCCATAAAAATCAAATGGTAGCTCCCTAAAAGAGTATCTGGAAGCCAAATCATCTATTCTCAGTGTGTATTTGTTTTCGAACAATTTACCGCGGATGGTATTTTATTTTTGCGCAAGTCGAAGTAAAAAAACGCGTTTTATATATTCGTTCAACAATTGAGATATATAAATATTCTAACTATTATATATATATGTGTGTGTAGGCACTTATGGTTATTTTATTTGTTATTTATTTTGTTATATTTTTCTATTCTTTTCTTGCTATGTGTTTCATTTTTCTTTTGTTTTTAATATAGTTTTAAACATATATAATGTTAGCATTTTTGTGTTATTCAGAATATGTTACAAATTGAAAGGACTTAGCTTGCTAGTATACTTTCCATTTTTTTGCTTTATGGTTTACTTCATTTGAGATCATTAATTGAGTGACGTCATATATGTGTATAATTTCCGGAAGGCCGATCTGAACAGATTCATTCTAGTCGTTCTCTGATACCATGTGAAACAATTTAATGTATTTGTAAATGATATTGTTTATTTAGACCATGAAACTTTTTCTATTGTATATATATTAGTGGATATTATAATTTTCAACAATCTTCAACAGCATAGACAGGAATTCAGCTCTAGAAACATGGAAAATCGGACATGATGGACATTATAAGACTGGTATAGTGTATAATCTGTAATTGTTAAAGATGTTTTATTTTATTAAATCTTAGAAAATTAAAACTTTTAATTTCTATTATGTCTTTATTATAAGTGATGATTTTCTTGTCTGTAATATCTACATGTATGAAAAAAAAATAGATGACTTAATGTGGAGTATACGTCAACGAGGCACCAACGTAACCTTTGAACATGATTTTCCATTGTCTGAAAGATAGAAAGAAAGGAAAATATTAGCATTTATACACACATTACGGGACTTCATGTAACAAATTATATCAATAACTTAATAATTTATATTCAGCACTGAAATCCTCTGGATCATGGGGAAGGATATAGGTGTTTAACTCCAGTGTAAAAAATATTACATGTATATCAGGACCTATTAATGTGGTATGACCCCGGCATTGTAGTAGACCGACACGCTGAGTTCGTTTTGTTTTACAAAGATAAAAATCCACTTGAAAATATGTTACCCTACCCGGACACATTATTCTTACTCTATACCACAATACTAATTTTCAACTCTTTGGTCCGGCTTGGGATTGCACCCCTACCTCCCGCACTCAAGTGAGCGAGCACGCTACCATGATACCAGCAAGGCGATGAATCATCCGTCACATATTGACATATTTATTAAGGATAATCTCAAAATGTATAGCACGTTTTTTCTTGAAAATTTCAATATTCAAATTGTTATATTTTGTATAATTAATTTGCTTTCTATATCATTTGTCGGTTGTGTTTGTAAGGGACAATGTTAGGATTTTCGAATGTCTGCATCATTTTATTTATTTATTTATTTATTAATTATTTATCTATTTATTTATCTATTTATTAAATTTTATTTATTTATTTATTCATTTACTTTAAAAAAAAAAATTATTATTTTTTTAAATTATTTATTTATTTATTTATTTATTTATTTATTTATTTATTTATTTATTTATTTATTCATTAATTTTATTTTATTCATTTTATTTCATTTTATTTTATTTTATTTTATTTTATTTTATTTTATTTTATTTTATTTTATTTTATTTTATTTTATTTATTTTCCTAAAAAAATATTCCCAAAATAAAACGATCTAATATATTTATGGCTTGTCCATGGCCAAGTCGAGAAGCTAGTCAATGGTTTCCTCATGTT